CTGTAATATTTTATCAGTTATCTAAAAGGATTTTAGTTCTTTCTCGTTTTGTTTATTTTACCGAATGATTATTTCTTGTCAGTCGGTTTCTTGACTAACGAAATATACCCAATTCTATATGAATAAGATAAACAAGACTGAGGTTGTCATTTCCCTGGTGTCGTTTGATTAAACAAAGCGGACGGGCTGCCGTTTAAGTCAACATCTATGTGTATCTACAGTGTAGTGGTTGAGTGCGTCGACCACTTCACTTATATGGGAAGTGGAATAATCCCTGGTGGCCAAGTGGTCGATGAAATTTCTGCAAGAATGCAAAAGGCTCGCCACATGTGTCGCCGCCATGATATCCGATCGTGTATTAAGGGTTGCGTATACTGCACAGCAGTCCGGTCTGTTTTATTTTATTGCTGTGAAACATGGCCATCGAAGGTGGAAGACATGAGAAGCCTTGAGGTATTTGAACACCGTTGGCTTCCTAGTATACATCGTATTCCGTGGTGTCACCACGTTACTAACGCAGAAGTCAGGTGTAGGTGTGGAGTTTTAGGGGAACAGGTAAATCAGTTGACACGGTTGTGAATCTTCATCGGCTGAGATGGTTGGGAAATATGTTACGTATGCCTAGTTGCCCATTGCCTCGTCCACATAATGTTGGCCGAAGTAGGTTCAGCTTGGAAAAAGGCTGGAGGCAGCCAGATCAAAACGTGGTATCAATGTATGAAGTGTTTGACTGTTGGTTTGAGCCATGTAGGGTGGGTGCGATGCAGACTAGGTGGTCGGGGTTTGTGGGATAAGAGGAACCATTAGTGGTTGGAGACTGATTGTATGTGATATTGGTGAGAACCGATATCAGTGGCGCAGATGTATCCCCACACACATTATCCTCATCTTAACGGTATACTGAATCTCGTCATTCTCTCACCCCTCCTTTCTCTCTTTTCGTACTTTATATTTCTTTTGACTGGATTTTCGTTTCTCCATCTTCCACTTCACTACCTTTTTACTTGATGTATTGATATGAAGTGAGGCAAGTGGGAGCAATACGCAGTAACGCCTGGTCGGTCCTATGTTGATGATGATGGTGATCTACAGACTCACATACCTCTATGAATCCGATTATATCGGACGTTGTAAATAGGCCCTTTGAAAACGCCTCGCAGAGCACTATTCAATTTGGTTTACAAAAGGCCAGTTAAGCGAAACAACTTCATCCATATGTGAACACTTAGTGGAGTCGAGAACCATCCTTAATGGTAATTTACAAAGGTTAAATTGAAGTACTCCAAAGGTTCACTTGTCCACTACTTATATATGACACAAACAATAGCCGATACTGTGCATTCAACAACCTGTTATTTAGCCAGCCAATTGTCTGTGTGTGTGTGTGTATATATATATATCTTATCCACCCTCCCCCATTTTAATGTTTATCAGCCTGTTTTATATGTGACTGACATTTATTTTGCAATGCTGTGAAATTCCTAACTTTTCAATGTCTATATTCGGATACTTTTTGTAGGCGTTATTGTTACTAGTGGGGAATCTAACAACGCTACTCATTTGTGCATACATAATACTATTGAAGGGAATTTTTTTGACTTTAAAAATTTGGCTTTTCTCTCCTAGACACCGAAATTATGAAGTCTAGGCAGATATTTATGCATATTTTGATGTTAAATGTCGTTAGTAATTCGGTAGGAAGGATTGGATATACTTTTCCTGCCTCTTGACATGAAAAAAATTATTGTTCCGTCAGTGGTTCGAACCCGTGTCCGTCGTATACGTTAGGTATACACTTCGACAGATGTTAGTTAGTTGGTAGCAGTCACCATGAAGCTATGATCGATCTAGGTTTTGTGCTTATTGGCACTCCTCAGCAAGGAGTATCTACAACTTTGAGGGAAGTGATGTCCTCTCTGCATCCTAGTGTTTGCCGGTATGACTATCAGGACTCGAATCTTTGACACTGTTCACTTCAAACACCATAGCGCTAATCATCGACTTGCTGAATCTTGAGAGCCACCACCGAGTCTTGAATTACACTGGTAGTCACCTCCATACGAATCACATGATGGTTAAAGTTGAAGTAATATCGTGGTGTCTGTTCGAAGAGTGCATATCTCATCATAGATTGGTGTATACGGTTTAACTACTAATATGAACAACGGGAACATCCAAGTATGGATAAACAGCGAGTGATTTCATGATAGTTCTTATCGTGGATAATGAAAATAGAACGAGACTAGATAATTAAATTAAAGTAGTAGGGATGTTATGTTGTTGCTTGTATTATCTCGTCGTTGATTGAACCGAATTGATTTATCTTTATTGGCATATGGGCTCCTGCACGGATGCCCTGATATTAGCGGTATTTTCAGCCTTGAAATTAATAATGAATAGTGGCTAGCAGTGAAATCTAAGGCATGCGTTTCGTCCCATTTAGGACTCGTCAGCTGAATGTGCTTCCTTCTCATCGACGCAGTAGTCCATATGCCAATAGACACCGATCTATTCTGTCCAACAAACAACATAAAAACTATATTCATCGTACAAGAAGTGGCTATAGAGTGACTCAGTGGCCATAGCGGATATGGCTTCGGCATTTGAAACTTTCTAGACCTGAGTCCTAGTGATTCTTCTCTTGTACGGATCAAAGTAGTAGAGTGAAGCTATTTCTCCAATCACAGCCTCCATTATTGCATAGTTTTATTACTCATTCGAGTGTTTACGTGTATGCAGTGTTAGGTGACATAGTCATTTGTGTAAGCTTGTAGTCTAGAGTGTAGCGTGGATTTCTCTCTTTTGAGGATAGGAAGTTTGTTTGCCTAACACATTCTTTTGATAATAACTCTATCATTTTCTAGTTGACCAACACTATTGTTGCTCTGACAAAAGATAAAGTATCTAATTTCACCATTTACAAGTTTAGTTCCTCCCGTAGAGAAAGCTTTATAAAGCATACCACTAGAAAACTTGACTGATATGTTGTTGAGCATTAGCCTGCATGTTTGAGAAGGGGCCGGTGAAATCCATCAAAAGTTCTGTTTTATCTTACCTCGTTGATATTGGTCACTTGGTAGATAAAAATAAGAATTTCACAATTATTCATTGCATGATACTTCATCTTTTGGAAGGTATTCAATTCGTCTTCTACACATAGTCGACGCTGTGGGAATTCGAGTTAATAATCCTAGTCTTTTGTATCCAGAAGAAGTTAGTACATTCTTTATCTCTCCCTTGAAACTTTTTCCTAGCCTTTTCATATACTTACCATATTTAGTGTTATTACTTGTATTACACCGTCGTTGATTGCACCGAATTCATCAGTCTCTGTTGGCATATGGGCTGCTATGCGGATGCCTCAATATTGCCTTTCTTTTAACTATGTATAGTAATGATAGACAGTGGCTAGCAGTGGGATCTAGGATGTGCATATTGAGGCATCCACAAAGGAGCCCATATACCAACAGAGACTGATCAATTCGGTCCAGTCAACGACGGTATAATACAAGCAATAACACTAAACCTATACCCGTCGCACAACAAGTGGTTATTGTGGCTTGATGGCGTAGTGGATAACTCTCTTGCAGTGGAAGCGACCGCTCCCGAGTCCGAGTCCGGTGGGAACAACATCACTCACTGGGAGGCAGGTACATCCAACTGACCAGTGAGTCCCAAATAGGACGAAATGCACATCCTAGATTCCACTGCTAGCCACTGCCCTTCATTACTTACTATATTTGTTTAGACTTTGTTTATCTACTTATCTCTACCTTTAGTGTTACGTAACTTTTATTTTGACAAGCTTTTGACCCATTTTGATTATCGGAGTGTTTACATTTTCATGCTGCTATCTTGGTTCTTGTCATCATTATCGTCTATATTGCAAGTACTTTAGTCAGCGTTATCATTTTGTTGAATTTGTATTATTTATACAGGGTGATGAATGAAGGTGAAAGGAAAATCTGGGATGGTGTTGGGACTCGAACCAGCGACTACCGTGTTTCCGGACCGATGCTCTGCCAACTGACCTATGAGGTCCAACTGCTGAACAGATTTTTATTTCACCTTCAATCACCATGAGTTTCACTCGACTACCATGTGAATTCGTGATGTATTACTACCATTTGTTCGTATTCACGCTGGTTGCTGTTTAATCAAGACTTCTCATGGCAATTCAAATATAACTGGATTCGAATGAGAAGGGGAGCATCATATTGATCATGATTTTGACTATATGAGTGATATAGGTGAGTACGACTGAGCGACAGTAACGCGTCACGAATTCATATGGTAGTCGGGCAATGAAAATAAACTTCTGGTCAGCAGTCGCACTTCATAGCTCAGTTGGTAGGGCATTGAACCGTAAACCTGGTGTATCGCTGATTCAAATCCAGCTGCAGTCCTAGATTTTTATTCCACCTTCAATCATTACACAGTATCATTACTAGTCTTCTGCGAAATCACGGCTATCCTCAGGTGACTACCTGAGATAATTTGTATTATTATCACATTAATCGACAAATCTATATGAGGGGGTTGTGGAGATTTGGAAATATTTCAAGTTGTTATTCATCGAAGACTGACATCAGTTGGAGGAACAAAGGAAACCTGGGAGCACTGGACAGCTGTTTCGTCCTAGTATGGGACTCCTCAGCAGTGCGCACCCACGACACCACCAGCAGGGTCGTGGGTGCGCACTGCTGAGGAGTCCCATACTAGTCGGACTAAACAGCTATCCAGTGCTCCCAGGTTTCCTTTGTTCCTCCAACTGATGCCAGTCTACGATGAATAACAACTTGAAATCTATATGACTCATTTAATTTTTGTATATATCAAGCTATTTGTATTAAAGTAAAGCTTGAAGAGGATCTAACTGGGAATTAAGCCTTGACTTTAAAGTAGCACTGTTTTGTATTTCTTTGTTTAACAATAATATATTGAATGAATGAATGAATGAATAATTATGATTTATATAATGTTTTTCCATTACATTACAGATCCATTATTGAAATCAGCTGTACAATCAGATTATGGATATTTATCCCGTGTACCCCTACCATTCACTATACTATTCCCCTATCAAGCAAGAAAATCACGTAACAATTATGATACATCTACACTAGGCAGACAAGTAAGTGCTGTGTTGTCCAGATAGCGAGCGTGCAAAGGTTAATCCTGATTGTGTGTGTGTGTGTGCATGTGGCTGCACGCTTAAATTCATTCCTACCTTTCTGCTTTTATGGATTTATTTATTTATACGGCGTGATGATTGAAGGTGAAATGAAATTTTAAACCGCGGCCGGATTCGAACCGGCGACCACAGCACGGGGTATGACTGCTGACCAGACATTTATTTTCATTTCAATCACCAAGGATCTTTTGCCCCGACTACCATATGAATTTATGACATGTTACTATTGCCTGATCATATTGATTATGATTTTAACTATCTGAATGAGAGAGCCGTGATCTGGCCGACTAGTATTTATACTGGGTGATGATTGAAGGTGGAATGATCTATATATATGACGTTGTTTTCTTTATTGAAAAGAGTCCTTTGCAGTGGATACATGTGTACTTGAGCGTGTAATCGAGGTAGAGATAGAGAGCATGATTAACACGCTAGTATCCATTTATCTGTCTGTAAACTATTAATCTTATCCAATTTTGTATGTTTATTCGTTTGTTATTTTGGTAGTGACTATAGTCTACCGGCAGGAATTTCTTGTCTTATTTCCAGTAAAACATAAGTTACTTTTTATTGACTTCAGGATCAAACTTTAACTTGATAGAGTCGAATAAGTTGAGCATTGGGTAACTGGGTTATTGTATTTGTAATATCCCAATGAGGTAGAAAAATGACAAAATTTTTTGACATCTCAAGACCTTCTGGAAGTTGCTTCTTCAGAGAATGTTTAAATGTGTAACGACCAGTTGTTGTTAAGTTTTCATCTAGCCTGTAGATAGGTACGTTGTTACAGGGGGATGCGCAGAGCAGTGTGAGTTTAGTTGGTGGCCATGAGAATCTGGGAAAGAAAAAAGGAAGAGAAGAAAAGATGAGCCGACAACTCAGCAAGTATACAGGATGTACTTACATTCAATAATCAAAGGTAACTGACAAACAGTAGAGCTGGACAACGAAGAGATGAGGCAATCTAGAAATTGAAACTCTAAGGTGAATGAGTAACATTTCGAATGCGCTACAAATGATAATTTGAAGATATGAGGATAATTCTCATCGGTATCACTTATTAATCCTTGAGGTTAAGGATAAGATGTGAATGTGTGTCATTGTGTGAGAAAAATACTATAGATGACGAATTTTGGTTCGTCTGTGGGTATGCACACTAGTTATCACTTATGTGCTTAACGTGCTATTTCCAGGTTAATTGAATAGTTTGGCTTTTCTTTCCTTTGACTATTAAATTTTGAGGGAGTTGTGAAGATTTGGAATTATTTCAAGTTGTTATTCATCGTAAAATGACGTCAGCTGGAGGAACAAAGGAAACCTGGGAGCACTGAACAGCGCTGGCCGCGGAACCTGAAGGTCGCGGGTTCGATCCCTGCTGGTGGGGTCGTGGGTGCGCACTGCTGAGGAGTCCCATACTTTGACTATTAGTCCATTATGATTCAACATAATATGAAATGTCTCAACTATCCACCTTTTTTTGTAGTTTGAAAACCCTTTCTGAATAGCTTTAATATTTTCATTGTCAATTTTATGACTGTGATAGATGATGGCACGAACCGTGATCGCATATTCTTTAACCCAGATAAGGATCTCATGGGATGATTCCCCAGTATAATAGGCATCACAGTCGACACAGCCTAATCTGTGTAGACACAATTCTGTAGGAAGATAAAAGAAATTTTATCTTTTAAGTGAACTAGAACATTCCTGAGTATGTTGATTGTCTTGTAAACGACTGTAATTCAGTGCTTTCTGAATATTCTCTGTAGCTCTTCAGTTTTACCTTGGTGGAATGATAGAACTGCTGTTCTAATCTAAGAATCATGACTATATATTCCTTTTGGATCTTTCTGCTCATGTTCCTGAATCTTTTGAACGACATTCTTGGAGTAATAATTGGAATGTAACACGTTAATTATGTTTCTTACTGCCGTATATCTGTGATCTTCATCCGTGACAAGCTTTATGGCCGTGCTGAATAGGTTCTGAGGAAGTGAAGTTTTAGCACTGAGTAGATGGGCTGAGTTGAAATAAAGATATCCATCTGAATGTCTTGGATAGTATATCCAAAAATAACTCGTCACGCAGACTATATACACAAGAATAAACCCAATTCGTCATCCATACACATATTCACTTCCTGGAAACTACTGGATATTCATGACGTTATATTGATCTTAGTGACTAGCAGAAGAATTCAATACGCGTTTGGTCCTGTTTGGGACTCGTCAGCTGGATTTATCTGCACCCCAGTGTTTGTACGATAACCACCTCAGTAGAAACAACATCACCCGCTGGGATGCAGGTACATCCGGCTGACTAGTCCAAAATAGCACGAAACATGCATTTTGGATTCGTCTGCTAGTCAACAAGATCGATATAAATGCACAAACACATTCACATATTCACCTTGACCTCACCACAGTCTAATGACTTATAACAATGACTCTTATTCCCATATCATATATGATCATGTGGAAACAACGTTGATCTGATCTGTTGCTAGTAACTATTCTGAAAAAGTGATTTCCATGAGGTTTTGAAACGCAGAAATTTATTATTTTTCTACCTCACCAGGATTTGAAAAGTATATTTCATTCACAACAGTTTACTTTCTTAGTATAATCCCTTCTCTTTTAACCTACTTACTTGCTTACTTATATCGAAAATCTTTCGTCTAACCAATAAAGTTAGTCAGTTAGAAATACATCTCGGGCACTCTCAAACGGTCACTGAAATTTTCCAAAATAATCTGCTACTTCTCAACTACTTCGCCTAAAAAGTCGACTAATAATTATCATATGAAAGTTAAACGAGAAGCACAATACTTCTACAAGCACACCTACAACGAAGTAAAGATGTAGACAACAGGTATCTGTGACGGATGCCGCTCGATACTGATACCTTATCATGGACTGCAATATACTCACGAGTGTATGAAGAGGTTGAGTAGGTTTTTACTTTACCATCAGTCATCGTGTACTGTTTTCAATCTTTGTGTATTACTGGAAGCATACAGGCGGTTGACACTTCCCGGCTGCTCACACCGTGGAAGGTTATTTCTTCTTAAGTTCTTGATGGAGAAAAAGATTTGTGTGACTACAGAGCCCATGGAACATCTGCTTGAGGTCTGTCATACATGGCCTTTTACGGGACGTTGTTCTAACGTCGGATAATAGAAACTGATACCGCTGGCTCCGGAAGACTGTGAGACAGAAAGGAGTGTGTTATTTTTGGCACCGATTTTTCTTAACCCTCTCTTCCCGTTGGGTGGGAGCATCAGCGTGACACTGCTGGTCATCCAAGCGAAACACCTTAATGCTGTCACAGCCCACCCAACTGACAGCAGTACGACTTCGATTTCGTACCTCTATCATAGTGTGGTAACTTACATTAAAACGGTGAGTTCTTTTTGTCTAAGCATTACCCAACACACCTTTCCAGTATGTTACGACCTTGACGGAGCAAGCATTGCAGCCAGTACAACTCCTTGGTTTATTGTGACATGCAAGCCTGACCACCACTTCAAGGTAGCAGCTATCTGTCCCCTTCTGTGATTGTAAAACATGGCTGTTAGAAGTAAGTGACAAATCGATTAGATATGCCTTTGTAGCATTGCTCGCGTTTGGTAGAATCATCGCGTGAGGAATGTTGAGGTTAGGCGAGATTGGTAAGTCTATTGAGGAGGTTGTGAACCTTAGTCGACTGAGATGGCTTGCAAATGTACTGCATATGCCAAGCCACTGCCTACCTCCACGTGCCGTGCTAGAGAAAGTTGGATTAGGTTGTAAAAGGTTTAGAATGGCTAGACCAAGATGTGACACCAGTCTTTGAAGTCATTTACTGTTGGTCTGGGCTGTGTGGGGAGATATAGAGTACCTGGCTGGGGTCCCCGAGACGAGAGGAATCAGTGACTGAGGACTGTCAGTGACATAGCTGAACACCTGTCATAATGGTACAGATGTATTCACTCTTAAATTTCTTCTAAAGTTTCAATATTTTGACCACGTAAGAGAGAAAAAAGCAGTCAGAATTGATAAAATGTGGTGAACGGAGAAGGTGTGAGTTTATCTGTGCCATTACGATCGATTCTTAGTCATGTCATCTAGAGTCTTTATCCACCTAGTTCGACTATCACGTGGATCACGAACGAGAAACTGACGTTAACCTGCATGGCATGCAGTCTGGCTTTTTTTTAAACGTTTTATCAGCCTAAGGTCACTTGAAGTAATATAGCCTGATGGGGACCATATGTTCTAGCCATCTGAGTCAATGTAAGTTCATAATCCCATCAGCTTTTTCTGTCTGAAACTCCTCGTTTAACTTCTACGCTGCTGAAGTGTTGTGATACCATGACAAATAGCATACGCTACGAAAGCAAAGGTGGTCGATTACATGAACCATTCTCATATTCTCCAAATTTAATCACCAGTTTTCAAAGCCATATGGTGGGACACAGTGAACTGAACTGAACTGGAGAACAGTTTAGTCGGGCCCTAACAGGCAACTGAAAATCACGGTAACATAAATGACTGAAGTTAGCCTTTTGTATTTATGCCGAGATTTTGTTAGTCACCAACGTACCAGAGCTGATGAGATTTTCGAAGCAAGTGAAGTAGTCAGTATGTTCAACCATTTAACTCCATGTCGTTAAACAGATCACTGACGCAGGAGTCAGTAGTTAAAGACCTGTCGTCTTTATAACTAAGTATTTATACGCATATACTGTTTTCAGATTGGTATTCATCGTGGACTGACATCAATTTGAGGAACACTGGGACCACTGAACATGCGTTTCCTTTAAGTGTGGGACTCCTCATTAATGCACACCCATAATTCCACTGCGCCAGGGTTCGAACCCAGGACCTTCAGGTTCGTTGGCTAACCCACTGGTATTGAGCCACTGGGTCAGTATACAATGGTCCATATTTCCTACCTCT